TTTTTGAATTTCATGACAATAGTATCAAAACTTATGTAATTGTTTTTCAAGATCATTGATGTTCTTTCCGTTTTAGTTACTTATTGAAGAGTATTTGTGGATTGAAGTGTTTTTGGATTATGAAATTGTTGAGAGAAAAATAAAAGAACATATTAAATTTATACCTTCTTTATTTTTCATATTAATGATCTACTTTTTCTTTTACAAATTTCTTAAGAAAACACAAATAAAATATATACCTTAATTTTTTTTGGTAACTTTATAAATTTTATTTATACTTTCAAAAATAATTAATTGTTATAATAAAATAGAAAAAATTTAATTAATCATATCTTTGTAAATTAAAAAATAATTTTATATAACTATTTTTAATAATATAAATAATTAATATGAGATGGAAAAACAATATAAAAATGTAATAAATAGAATGAGTCAAGCAAAATTTTTTGAATTTCATATTTTTCATGAATAAAATTATTTAAGTATGAAAGTATAAAATTTGGAATAATTGTTTTATAAAAGAAACCAAAGGAAAAAAGAGAGTAAAAGAAGTAAGAAAAGGAAAAAACGTTAAAAGGAGGAGAGAGAAAAAAGAGTGTCCCCTTTTTCTGAAAGTGATCCAATTGGCAAAATATAAATGGGCCTCATACAACTCTTGTCTGTCACATACTTGTGCTTCATCCATGATAAAAAATTTCATCTTCTTCCCCAAATTTAAATTTTTAAAGACAACTAAAAAATCTCCATTGTTTTTTATTTTTTTCTTTTTCTAATTCTTTTCAATATTCATAAAAAAAACTGAATCAAATAACTGAATTTGCAAGAAAAATAACGAAAGTAGATTTTTAAACATTGGGATAAAAAAGTAAGTCGGTGTTCCATCTCCATTTCTGGTCACCTTCGATTAAATATTACCATTCAGATAAAATCGTAAACTCACTAAACTTATCAAAAACAATATCAAATAATTCGCTAAATTAATTTAGGTCCTCTTGATTTCTCCTTACAATCGATTTCAAGATGATTAACCATTGGCAAACTTCCTTTATTCATCACTCTTGTACCAACTCTTTGAATATCTTTCTCTATCACGTATTAGGAATGAAAAATAATTTTCGATAAAATTAATTTGGGTCCTTTCGATTTTTCTTTGCAATCGATTTCCAGATGAGTAACCATTGACAAACTTCTTCATCACTATTATATCAATCTCTTTGAATATTTTTCTCTCTCACATATTAGGAATACAAAATATTTATAAAAAAAAAATCGAATCTGCAAGTAATTTGCAGTGAAGGTTTTTGTGGTTTGAGAAAAAAATTGATTAGAAGAAGATGAAGAAGAAAGGGGGTTGGGTAGGGTGGGGTTGAGTAAAATGGGTTGTCATTTCATTTATTTTTTTATTAAGAAATAGAAATAAAATTTATTTGAAATAATTTTCATTCTTTTTAACATAAAAAAAAATACTATAGTTGTTGGGGTCAAGTGACACATGTCATCTTTTAATTAGTCATTTTTGCCACGTCATAGCAAGTGTATCACACACACTTTACCTTTTTTACTCATTATCGAAAAAGATCTAATAGGAACAAGTTTTAGATAGATAAAAGTGTTCAATAGTTACTAGTCCTAGTTGAGGTGTCTAAGTGAATTATGCGGACAACTTTAAGGGGCCGCAGATGACCTAAGCCTAAAATAAACAACACATGGTGGTACGGATGGCAATGGGGTGGTGTGGGGCGGGGTGAATTTAACTTAACCCGCAAATTTTTTAATCTGTCCTGCCCCGCATAACAATTTTTTTCATTTTCGGCGCCCCACATAATTTTTTTAATATTTTTTTTTCTAGTTAAGTTTGATACTAAAAGTAGAATTCAAAAAAATAAATTCACTTGTATGCCTCTGTCTGCCCAATCTTGCATTGGCTCATTAAGCTCTGATTCTGTCTTGGAACATGTGTACACTTTTGCACCAAGTCCAGCTAGCTCCTCTACAACTGCATGACTAAAAAAAAAAAACTTTTATTAACGATTTAAGTTATATTTAAGTTATATGCACGAACAACAAGTCAACGACTAATAACAAATGTAACAAATTTTTACACTATATCATCGTCGTGAAATTAAAAAATGTAAAGTACCCAATTCCAGTAGTGCCACCAGTGACGAGAGCAGCCAAACCATTAAGTGACCATCTAGAACTTTTGGCAAACGCTGCAACTTTAGCCATTTGAGTTCTACTTTTTTCTTGCTTCGAAGATATTGTGTGTGTATATATATAGGAAATATATATTTTACTTATTAGATACTTAATTAATTAATTGCTCTAAAAAAAAATTTAAACATTATATAAAGTAGTACAGCTAATCTATACTACATTTTTTATTTTCAAAACATTTACTATAACTCTCATGTGCAGATTTTCGAGGCTCGTGTTAGATGTAGCTAAACCATGTGGAAGATGACAATATAATACCAAAATGCTCTTTAATCTTGTGGTCTTAAACATGCACGTCACATGGAAAATTAAAATTAAAAAACAATTACATACTCGAGCTAACTCCCATGATTTTTGATTAAAATTGAAGGGATCTTATTCATTTCACCACGCGATTTTTGTTTAGTGTTGGTGATTTTCCATGTTCTATATCAACACGTTTTTTGAGGAGATAGATTTGTAAGTTGTAACAACGTCGCCTTCAAACATATATATGAATATAAAATAAAGGTTTAAGTCATTCACGGTCCCTTAAAGTTGTCCACATATTTCATTTAGATACCTTAACTAGGACTACTACCTATTGAACACTTAAATTGTTCAAAAAATATGTTCCTATTAAACACAAAATGTTGATATGGCAAAAGAAGTGTTTTTCACTTCCTATGGGCGCGTGAAAGTTTTTGAAATACTGTTTTATTTTTATTTTTTCCAAAAAACTTACACTTTTTCTTCTTTAATTGACACTTGGCATTTAAATAAATTAAAATAATTTTTTAATATTTTTAAAAAATTATAATTCTTAATTCAAAAAAGAAAGAGCACCCCTACCCCGCTTCAAGTCATGACACACATAGTGTCAGTTGTGTGAGGCCTCATTTGGCTGCCACATGTATACTGTGGGACCTATATGTACTTATTTCCCTACTTTTCTTTTCTAATTTTAATCTTTTCTTTTACTTTTTCTTTCTTACTTACATTTTCCTTTCTGCTTGTTAATTCTTAGTGTAAATTTTATTTTTGATTTTTTATTTTAATAACGAAACTTTAAAAATCACACACGGTATTGATTATATATATTTTATATCTCTATTACTATTTATTTGAGGGAAAATTAAAGTAATATGTCGAAAAAATTAAATTTACTTATTTTTTGATGAATTCAAGAAAATGGAGGATAGTGAAATTAAAAAAAAAAATTAGTGAAAATTCATGTAATCAACCCACTGAACTAATTAGTTTATGCTTTTCTTTTTTTACGTACTGAATTTTGATTTAAATTTATGATAATTATATAAGTTTTTAGTTTATTATTTTAATATTATTTTTTCTATTCTATATTATTTATTTTATTATAATAAATATTTGTTTGAATTTATTTTTAGTTTATAAAATCAAGATATAAGTAGTTTTTTAATCCTAAAAATTAATTTTTTATAATTATAAATAAATTTTGTAAAATTGCAAAAATTCTTTTAAGGAATAAATTATTAAAAATATTATTTATATTTATAATTTCTTTAAGAACATGTAAGAAAAGTAGATAAGCAAAATATTTATTAAATTTCACCTATCTTGATTTTTAAGAATAAGAATATGGTATAAATTGACAGAAATAATATGTATTTATGTTGGTGTTTATGGATGTTTTTCGTTTTTGAATTTCATGACAATAGTATCAAAACTTATGTAATTGTTTTTCGAGATCATTGATGTTCTTTCCATTTTAGTTACTTATTGAAGAGTATTTGTGGATTGAAGTGTTTTTGAATTATGAAATTGTTGAGAGAAAAATAAAAGAACATATTAAATTTATACCTTCTTTATTTTTCATATTAATGATCTACTTTTTCTTTTACAAATTTTCTTAAGAAAACACAAATAAAATATATACCTTAATTTTTTTTGGTAACTTTATATATTTTATTTATAGTTTCAAAAATAATTAATTGTTATAATAAAATAGAAATTTTTTAATTAATCATATCTTTGTAAATTAAAAAATAATTTTATATAACTGTCTGCCACATACTTAGTGCTTCATCCATGATAACAATTTTCATCTTCTTCCCCAAATTTAAATTTTCAAATACAACTAAAGAATCTCCATTGTTTTTTGTTTTTTTCTTTTTCTATTTCTTTTCAATATTCATAAAAAAAACTGAATCAAGTAACTGAATTTGCAAGAAAAATAACCAAAGTAGATTTTTGAACATTGGGATAAAAAAAGTAAGTCGGTGTTCCATCTCCATTTCTGGTCACCTTCGATTAAATATTACCATTCAGATAAAATTGTAAACTCACTAAACTTATCAAAAACAATATCAAATAATTCGCTAAATTAATTTAGGTCCTCTTGATTTCTCCTTACAATTGATTTCAAGATGATTAACCATTGGCAAACTTCCTTTATTCATCACTCTTGTACCAACTCTTTGAATATCTTTCTCTATCATGTATTAGGAGTGAAAAATAATTTTCGATAAAATTAATTTGGGTTCTTTCGATTTTTCTTTGCAATCGATTTCCGGATGAGTAACCATTGACAAACTTCTTCATCACTATTATATCAATCTCTTTGAATATTTTTCTCTCTCACATATTAGGAATACAAAATATTTTTTTTTAAAAATCGAATCTGCAAGTAATTTGCAGCGAAGGTTTTTGTGGTTTGAGAAAAAAAATTGATTAGAAGAAGATGAAGAAGAAAGGGGGTTGGGTAGGGTGGGGTTAAGTAAAATGGGTTGTCATTCCATTTATTTTTTTATTAAGAAATAGAAATAAAATTTATTTGAAATAATTTTCATTCTTTTTAACATAAAAAAAATATCTATAGTTGTTGGGGTCAAGTGACACATGTCATCTTTTAGTTAGTCATTTTTGCCACATCATAGCAAGTGTATCACACACACTTTACCTTTTTTACTGATTATCGAAAAAGGTCAATAGGAACAAGTTTTAGATAGGTCAAAGTGTTCAATAGGTACTAGTCCTAGTTGAGGTGTCTAAGTGAATTATGCGGACAACTTTAAGGGGCCGCAGATGACTTAAGCCTAAAATAAACAACACATGGTAGTAGGGATGGCAATGGGGTGGTGTGGGGCTGGTGGATTTAGCTTAACCCGCAAAAATTTTAATCTGCCCTGCCCCGCATAACAATTTTTTTCATTTTCGGTGCCCCACATAATTTTTTTAATATTTTTTTTCTAGTTAAGTTTGATACTAAAAGTAGAATTCAAAAAATAAATTCATTTATTAAGTTTTATTAATTTAATAGAGAATAAAGATTTAAAAATTTATTTTTTAGAGTTCAATTGGGAAAATGTAACAAATTGTATTATTTTTTATTGAACCATTTTCATTTACTATCTTGAATATTTTAGTATCTTTAAACAAATTATCTTAATAAATAATGATCTATCACTCTTATTATAATTAACATGCAAAAAGTTAAAATTAAGTTTGAACTCATATAAAATCACATACCCACAACCCGCACCGCCCCACATTAATTTTAAAGAAACCCATTTCAACCCACCCCACATTCCTCATGCCCCGCATAGCCTTAAATTCGTCCCGTCCGAAGTGGACCGCCCCGCATAGCTTTAAACCCACCCCGCCTCTCATTACCATCCCTAGCTACATGGTGGACGGTAAAAACGAGTGGCTTTCTAGCATTACTTAGTACTTTGTAGGGAAGGGATATCACTAAAATTAGTTGATAAATATATAAGCTAATTTGGAAACTTTTAAAAAATTTAACTTCCCATTTATCTTAATGACATTTTTTTAGAAATATGTGTGGCATGTTCAAAATCATAATTTTAATTAAAATTACTTTTGGTATGTTGGTACCAACATTATTTTTAATAAATACAAAATTTTATGTTCAATCAAATACTATCATACATTTTAAAGAAATACAATAATATTTAACACATCGGCATGATAACAACTTTAATTCATGAAGGTTTCAGCTAGAACACGCTTGATGAACATAGAATACAACAATAACAATAACATACTCAGTCACAACCTTATCCCTACCTTGTGAAAGCAGAGAGATTGTTTCCGTTCAACGAAAACACAAAACATGAGAATATTAAATACAACATTATTATAAAAGTACTAGGTAGCTAGAAATTCTACACTACCATTTTCAAACAAGTCCTTAAGTTCGAGCTGAAGAAGTAATATCACTCGATCATTATTATCAAACTGACTGCAATTTTTTTCTGTCCGGCTATTAATAATTAATAGCCAGGCTGTTGGAAGCCATAGACAGTGAATCCTCCATCAACTGCAATAACTTGGCCAGTAACATAAGAAGCAGCAGGAAGACAAAGATAAGCTACCATTGATGAAACTTCTTCAACTTCTCCAGGACGCTTAAGAGGAGTTCTTGATACTACCCCTTCCATAAATTCTTTATCCCCCAGCACCTGTGAATACAAAGCCATCAAAAGGGTCAAATTTGTCTTTTCGCTGTCGAATAAGGATCAAGTTTACCCTTCATTATACTACTCATACAGAAATATATAATGTTACCTAATAAGTTGCTCAAATATACCCTTTCTCCTAATTATATTGGGTCTATCCAAAGTGGACGTATAAAGCCATTGATACAAAAATATTTTAATTTATTGGATTCGAAAACTACTATTTATATTTGTTTAGTAAATTTCTTAAAGCCATTGATAGAGTCGTCAAAATGGGCTTAGCCCATGGGGCCGGTCCAACCCAACCCGTTATTGGGTAGGTTGGGATATGATTTTTCAAGCTCATTTAAGACTATCCATATAAGTCCTTGGCCCTTGAGGCTTGATCGGGGTCGGCCCATGGGCCAAAACTATTTATTTAAGAGTAACTTACAACAATCTCGCTAGTATTTGAGCTAATTACTTAAAGACACGCTATGTTGTATCTCGGATACATAAACTCAAAATTAGGTTCATTTGTTCTAGATACACTCTATCCAAGTGGATTCACATATATCTAGGATACACAGACAAATCTCACGTCCTCGCCTCCCTCGCATCTCGCTTGTCACTCGCGTATCTGGGATGCATCACACCACATTCATGTATGTAACATCTGGCAATGTGAAATGACTACGAAGAGGCTTAAAAATTGGAAATTTTCATTTTTGGAAAGAATTTTGAAAATCTGGAAATTTGGCGAAGTATGGGAAAAAGGTGAGTTTTTGGCCAACTTTGAGCAGTCATAACTTCTTGCTCATGGTGAGTTAGGTGTAGTTCCAGTTATGGTTACAAAGTTTGTGGAATGATCTTTCCAACGCCACCGATTTTACTCGATTCCGAATTTGTATGAGTGAGTTATGCCCTTTGGAAGTTGGGCAGTGGCAAGGAAATCCGTCCGGAAATTTTAAGGGCATTTTGGTCTTTTCCCTAGC